AAGGACGAATTCAATTTTTTTTTAAGTTATACAATATCCTGAACAATTAATTACTAAATTTTGGAAACACTTAAAAAAGTAAATATAACGGATTATTTTCACATTTCGAATTTTAACAAAATAAAAAAAAAACCAAAAACAAAACTGATTAATTTATAGGTTTTTTTTTAATATTTCGAATAATCGAACTATTAATTTCAAGGGGACGAGTTCAATTAGTTTCTTCTTCTTTTTTAATTTATACAATACCCCGAACTACTAATTAGTCAATTTTAGAGAAATAGTAAAAAAATAAATATAACGGATCAGTTCAACCGAAGAAAATCGAACCCGAAGGGTTGAGTTCAACTCTCTGTAGACGAACTGAATTGAAGTTCAATTTTTTTCACATTTCGAATTTAAAAAAAAAAAAAGAAAAAAAAACCTTGAGTTCGACCAGCTCTAGCCGAGATTGATACACTTAGTTCGACTAGATCTGGTTGAACTCCAAACAAAATAGCGAGTTCGGCTAGATCTAGCCACAATCTGTGTATTGAGTTCGGCTAGATCTGGTCAAGCTCGCCGAAGTTGCTGAAAAAAATTCTATTTCCTAATAAACAAGACCAGAGGATAAATTTGGTGTAAAATTTATCTTCGATTTAGACTGATTCGGGAAAATTTCGACGGTTTGTTTGAAGGGGTGGAAAAAAGTAGAGAGATAAGGTGAAAGAGAGGAGAGAATGTGTAAAATATTTTAAGGTGCAACAACTAAAAAACGGCTGCATTAAAGACCTCCATTCTTATAATTTAGCTTTTGGTCCAATAAGCTTAGTTCAGAGGGTCCGACCCACATGTTCTTGTCTTTATATTGTTTAATAAGCCCAACATGGGGGTTTTGGCCCAACCTTGAAAAACTGACCCCCATCATATACTCCCTCATATTCTCTAGTGAACCTAGCGAAATGGTTCACTAAAGAATATAAAAGCGACGTGATTCTCGAAATACCTTGAATGTTTTTTACGGATGAAATTTTCCGTACAAAATTATTTCCATGTATTTTTGTATTAGGCTCGCGTTCCTCCGATTTTGATCGATAACCAATTTCTACTTGAGTAATTCAATTATGTTAACATGAGCGAACTTATTTATTTTGAGCGTCAACGTGTCTAGGTGTTAGGACTTCTCATACGAGTTAGTCGTTTTTCCATTTGTTCATGCACAAAGGTTTTAGCTTCCTTGAGGTGATGGCCCAAGCGAGCCAGGTACAAACTTGTTACTTTATTTTCGGACAAGTGCCGTGAGGTATTTCAACCCTCGTGAGTAGGTCACGAACCTAATTTTTGTTGTTTCCGAACAAGGGCTTTGAGACATTTCACCTTTAATGATCGCCTCGCGGACCTATTACCAGTTATTTCCGAGCAAGGCCGCCGAGCTATAAGAACTACGTGCGAGCTCATAAAATTTTGAGCGATAGATAATTTCGGCATAATAAATCCAAAATAGAGGACCCATTAGAAGCATATTATAACACCGATAGACGAGCCTTCGAGTAGTTTTCACCGGATTAATGTCTTAATTGCATGTGTTATCGTAGGCATACAAATATCACCTTAAGTAGCCGTTTACAAGACTTCTTAGTTAATGTTTTATTCATAATTGGTTTGCATAGACATATAGTGAACTGTTTATGAATAATAAACTTATAATACACGCGATAACGGGTTATGAGTAATTTACTGTCTCGGGTTAATAATCGAGAATCGTAACTTGCATGATAGATGTTTAATTGGGTGATGAATTATCGCATAGGGGGGAGATAAAATCCTAGGTCCGTTTTTATTGATATCTTATCGTGATTATTTGCTTTCATAGTTAGTTTAATTCTTTAGGTTATAAAATTTGACAACCTGGCGTAGGCTGGATAAAAATCATAATTGTTAGAATCCAGTACATAGGATTAGGTAATTTGAGTATTCCCTATGGGATCGACATCTGACTCTCACGAGTCCACTTTTGCTACTTGTTAGCTATACGTGCACTTGCGTGTTAGGTAGTTAGCCCAACAATTATAAAATCAAAAAAAATATGTTATAGGATGTAGTTTTTATAACACACTACTCTAAATGATGGTTTTATGAGAGGTTCGCTAAAAAAATGAATGAAAAGGATTGTTGGTAAATGTTAATAGGATTATATTTAAAACCGTTAAGAGCTATGTTGTACGGATATTTCAGCTTCTTAACGTCTCTTTGTTTTGGATAACTTTTAAGTCCGACCCTCGAGCACACCTGTCGAATATCTTATGGGTCATATTATAATTTTCAAAAACTTAGGAACATGTTTGAATAGCAAATTTCCAAATATTTTTGTTGCTTCCCTAATTATTTACATGATTTAAAGATCAATTGCAAATTGATAGTTGATAATAATATTTATTTTAAATATATTTGTATTAAAATATATAATAGTAGTTATATATAAATAACAACTAATATATGTTAATATAATATTATTAACATATTCATAAATATACCCCTATAATTTTAATATTCACAAGTTCCCACTAAGTCCATTGTTTAGATATGATGTTTCATCGTGTTCCTTTCCCCCTCTCCTTGTATCGTCGTTTCCATGTTCGTACTACATATATTAAGAATGTTATACTGCGAATATTCACAAACCTATAATCACAAATATGAAATATTTCAACATAACATGCCAATATTTAAGGCACTCAATGAACTCTACCAAATAAACAGAATAAAATAGAAACTTTTGCCACCTTTATTTCTTACCAAATATTTTAAGGTTATTTATAGTGAGCGACGCAATTTAGTGTACTAACTTTTATTATAGAGCCAATTCGGTATACTAATTAAATGGTATTAAAATCGACGCGACGCAATTTGGTATACTAACTTATTTTATCGAGCCAATTCGGTATACTAATTGAATAATATTAAAAACGACATCTTTTGTATAAATCAAAACTTAATTAAATTGTAATGAGTTTCAATTTAACCGATAATCTAGAAAATTCCTAGTGGTAAAACCGTTTGAAAATTCCTAGCTATATTGAATGCTACACTCGGTGAACTTCACTGGGTGATTTTGCACCATAAATTTGTGAAAATAACCACCCAATAAACACGCACGCATACATACACATGGGTGTTTGTTGTTATATGTAGATCAATAGTGCAAAATCACTTGTAAATTCATAGAAGAAGAGAACAATATTCTCTTGAAAAAAGAAATTAATGAAATAGTGGAGAATTTAATATAACAAATAAAAAATTTAGAAAATAATATACAAAATGCAATATGTTTATTATTAATAGTGTAAATCGATTAAAACTTCTCGTAGATTATATATAAAGAGTGGTGCTATTTCCACCTCCAAATTATTTAAAATATCATAAATACCCTTAAAATTTCTAATCTTCCACCTTCCCATGCTTATTTCCTCCTCTTTCCTCAATGTAACTTGTGTTAATGCAACAAAGCAATTTCAAATGGTAAAACAATATTTTAATAATCGTCTAATTCGAATCAGTGTCTGGGCAGACTGCGCTGAATGAATGTAACCCATTTTTCAAGTTTTAATCCACCGAAAACAACAATATCAAAAATCTCGATTTTTTTTTCTTTTTAATCGTTTATATACAAGAAATCTTAATTTAATTTATTTCTCCAAGAACGTGATTCTTGCTCCTTGTGAATTTCCTGTATTTTTCTTTGTTCTCTAACGAAGGTGCCGTTCACTTAAGGTGGAGATGATGAGATTTTATGGCGAATATTCAAGTGAAAAATGGTGGAAAACTTTATTGTGAATATTTTAATTAGTTTGGTGGTGAACAATTTTTATTTTTTTACAAAATATGTGTGAAAGATGAGCAAAAGGGTAAAATAGAGAAAATATATTTAATTTTATGGTGAAATAAGATATGTTGTGGGTGAAAATAGCATTCTCTATATAAAACTATAATTACGCAATTTATTAAAACAAAACATTGCATTGGTGTGTATGTGTAACTGGAAGTCTTATAGTCTATTATTTTATAGAGACTTCACCAAATATTTAAATCACTTACTCAAATTATTTAAAGCTAGCTATAAGTACATTAAAATCTATGTACTTAATCTTATAAACTCATTAATTTAAGAAATGACATAGGCTGCGCATATTGCTGTGAACTAATTAAAAAATAACAAATAGAAAATTATAACTATAACTTTGTTGTTTCATTTTATATTTTGAAAATTCACAAAATAATCTTAATTATGCAATAAATTACAACAAAAATTGAATTATTTTTTATGAGTTGATAACAATTGAATTAACCTTATAAAAAAATATTGAAAAACAATTGAATTAAGTCGCATTAGCCACTTAATTGTGGAGATTTGGGTAAATAATTGTATATCATAGTTATTTTTCGTACACGTGAAGAAACAATAAGAACAAATTTATGACACATGGTTAGCCTAATATAGTTTACGTCTCTTGTATGGTTTGTAAGCTATTATACGAGAGTATAGATTTAACCAGTGCACCTCTATGGTTGTTGGATGCAGGTTCATTCATTAAGGGCCCGTTTGACAGGATTAAGCGCTGAATACTGAATGCTGAATACGTGTCTGAATGGATAAGAGATGTGTCTGAATGCTGAATGCTGAGCAATTAAGTTCATTTGATAATTGAATGTCTGAATATTGTTATTTTCCTATTATACCCTAATTTAATGCTGGCGTTTTATTTGTTAATTAATTAATTTTGATTAACATATATAAATAAACAAAAAAAGAAATTAAGCATGATCTACATAATCAATAAAATTTGAAATTTAAAATATTTAACATAGATAAAATATAAAATTCAAACAACTAATAAATATAACATTCACAAATAGAAATAGTTAAAATATGGAAATGCATTAAAGTCGCTAAAATTGGCCTAAAAGATTAAAGTCGCTTAAATCAACGTCAAATATTTAATAAATTCTAATTGGTCACTCACTCAATGCATCAACCGAGTTGCTATCTCATCGCGAACATTAGCCATATACTGCATGTCATCGACCCCCCACCATGGTCCGGTAGATGTATCATCATTCTCGTGGTCTTGTCCATCCTCATTCGCACCATCAAAAGGCATATTGGGTTGATCAAGCTCCTCAAAAAATTTATCACTAATACGCTCTTTTCTTATAAAATTATGTACCGCAAAACAAGCAATCACTATATTTCTTTGCACATCTAATGAAAAAGGGGCCATCTTTTCTAAAATCGGAAATCTATTTTTCAGAACTCCATAAGTTCGTTCAATGACATTCCTTAGTTGAGCATGAGCATGGTTAAATGTTTCTTCTTTAGTCAAAGCACGTCTACGACGATAGTCCCCTAACCAATATCGCACATTGCGATACGGAACCATAAATCCTCTAGTATGTGTGTATGCTGCATCACAAAGATAGTATTTTCCTGTAATAATAATAAAAATAATTCAAGATCAGATTTAACGTATAAATGATTAGAATTTATAATTTTAATTTAAAGTAATATCAGCAGGAGGCCATGGAAAACCGTTTGTCGGATCAGCAACTGTATCTGTTAGGACTCTTGAATCATGTGTTACCCCTTCCCAGCCTGCCCAAACGAATGTAAACATCATATTAAAGTCGCATATTCCTAAAACATTTTGATATCATTGGCCCTTTCCTCTACCCCTGTACATAGTTTGCTTTGAAACTGGAACAACGGCATGTACTAGTGTTCCATCAAGTGCACCTACTGCTCCCTACAATAAGATAAAAATAAGTTACGAAAATAAGAAGAGAATTAAATAATGATAGAAAAAATGGAGCGATAAACAATATCTACCTTAAAAATTCGGTGTAACCTCCTAAAACTTGCCGATATATTTGGATTTGGGTCAAAATGTTGTTGGTACTATTATGTCCCTTGCCATATTCATCATTGCACTCAACACTTCGTGAAAATACGCATGAACTGTTTGCGAAGAGTGTTGAAATCTACGCTTCACTACACGAAGACGCTTATTATGCCCAATAATTTGCAAGAACATTGCCATTTTTTCTTCTACTGATACATGTCTACTATCATGCAGCCACCCTCGTTGTCTAAAATGCATGCTCAAACGAATATATGCAACATGAGACATGCGCATTAATTCAATGCATTGTGTGTCTGATCCAGACAAGAGCCCAATGTGTAAGCATGTCCTGACAATGCTGAATTATTATCTCTGTTTCTTGGTACGCGCATCAAATATCTCGGACGAATTTGTGTGTACCAATAGATCATCATCAATATCATAATATCGTAAATTTCCATATTTGACCTGTTAACAAAAATGATCAATACATTAAATATTTGAGAATGTAAACTATCATTAGCAAAATATTGAATCATAAAGGGAACCTAATTCGCAAGGTAAATGTAAAACAAGTCTATTATTATAAAGTACCAACTAACAAGTTTGATACTAAAATTGAAACTAATAACATAAAACAAATCCATCATCACAAATAAATGCTACTAAATTATTAAAATTTGATACATAAGTCATTGCAAGTTAAAATTAAAATCCCGTATTTTGTCCAATTCTTTTAATCCATGCTTTCAGAACTCCGACATTATCCTTAGGAAGCGCCATCCAAGCTTCTCTATGTCCTGCACAATTGCCAAAGATTACAACAGCTGAAACATATAAAATGTCTTATTTATCCCATTCAAGTTCATCCAATTTAGCAATACAATCTGTAACTGAAGGTCCACTATTATTTTTAATTATAAACTTCAAAGCTGCTGACATCTCATTTATTAAATTATTATCACCGGCCGAGGGTTGACTATTTTTCTTTTTCTTTTTAGGCTTTTCTCCTTGAGACCGATGGGCGAAATCATTAGTCTGAGTCCCTCTGGTATCCCTAAAATTTCCATCTTCATCACAATAAGAAATATCTTCTATGTCTCTTTGTTCCACATTCCGGACATTACTCGAAGAAAATGAGGTAACACCTGGATTTTGATCTTGGGAACTAGGTCCCCAAGAATGAACACCAGTAGCAGTGGCACCGTCGAATAGTGCTCTACAAAGGTCAGGATAAGGTAGAGGTGCAAGTCTTAAACTCTTTGCCTTAGGATGAGCCTGTATTGAAGTATCAAATTATAATTCTTAATAAGATCTTATAATTACTAATAAAAGTTAGATAAACCAATAAAAACCCTGAACAAAAAACCTTTATATACTCTGTCCACTCTTCCTTTGTCATGTTGATGGTGTTGGTGGCATGATTGTAAATATTGCCTGTTTTCATAGTTAACGGCAACCAAGCTTGATACTTTTGTTTTAAGTAGTCATATCGATTCTTCATTTGTCTTTGACAAACAACAAAGTTATGATTTTTCTTCAAAGTGTTCATAATTGTGGCCCAAGATTCTGACTTCAGACTACCTCCTTCTCTACCATTTAGAGCAACTTCTTGGATACACGCTTCGAGAAAACATTTATCTACTTCACTGTTGTTCCATCTGACTCTATTATTTTCATCCGATTCCTCCATTCCTATATTCATGAATATTTATTCTTCAAAGTTAACCCTCACGAGTTGTGATTAAAAAATAGAAACAAATGTCACGGTGGTATTGATAATTTGCAATTAGCCGAAGCTTCAACAGCAGTTTTTGTAGTGTATGATTTTTTTAAATGCTAAATAGATGAAGACTATGTAATGAGATATTGTATGCTTATCGTATCTTTAATTACGTATTCTTATTTATGGATCATTGGACCAAAGCAGTATTCTTTATTCCATCGAAAATCAAAACGACTTAACCTAAAAAAAAATCATGTCTAGGGCAAATTGTACACAGTACACACGAATCAATATATATATTATATTGGAGTGACCTCTCAGGAATTGAATATATATATATATATATATATATTCAATTAACAAAAAAAAAATCTCGAATCTGGAGAATTGAAGTACATATGATTTTGAGAGTATAGATTTTGAGAGTTACAGCTACTACACAGTGGCCCGAAGTACGAGAAACACCAACAATAACAAATAAAAAATATATATATTCAATTAACAAAAAATAAAATTTCAAATCAGGAGAAGTACGTGATTTTGAGAATATATAGCTACGACATAATGGCCAATTAACAAATTACTACGAATCAAAAAAAAATCACAGGGTATATCGATTTTTCTATAACAATCCATGCTCAATTATATATTAATTTGTGTATAATTATAAATTTCATATGGAGTAATAGAAAACTCAACAAAATAAAATAAAATTATAACAAAGATTAAGAATTTGTCAAAACCGAAAAAAAAACTTACTCGAGAATTTGAAGAATTGTCTTGCAGAGTTCTGCTATGGATTTCAATGATGTGTGAGCAGTGGTGATGAAAAGACTCGTAGAAGGGATATATTTTATGATGGTAGGGTTGGAATTTACAAGGTTATTTATGGGTAAAAGAAATAAAAAAAATATTCAGAACTAGGTCTGACCGAATAAGCGTGAGAATTGCGGCTGAATCGGTAAGCAATAAATCTTTCAGTTAAGAGATTCCCTCCAAACACGCTAAATATTATTATGCTGACCAAATCAGCGGAAATTAGTCATTAAGAGGCCAATAAGAGGTAATCAAACGGGCCCTAAAAAAAGAAGATAAAAATTTCATTTAAAAATTGCCTCATATTTCCACGACCTGCATAACTACTAAATACTCCCTGACACGTAGCGGGTCCCTTCATCACAAAAATAAATAAAGGGGTTATTTTACATACCCCCCTAGCCACCAAATAAACTAGGGATAAACCCAAACCCAAATCATCCTTTGACATACCCCCCTGGGGAAGCGAAAGTACTATACTACCCTTATGTGCAATTTTCGGCCAAACTGCATTCAGCATTTATGGTCCTGCATTTATCATTTTCGCTGATTTATTTATAATTATTTTTTTTTTATAAATAAATATATATATATATATATATTTATTTTCTTAATTTTTTAATTTTTTTTATAAATAATTTTTTTTTTTTTTTTATTTTCAATTTTTTTTTTAATTTTATTTTTAATTTTCAAAACAATATGTTTACAGTACTGAAAATAACTACATGTAACTATAGTATCTATAGTAATTCATAGTTATGTTCGTTTTTTCCCCATATTTTTAGTCGATGAATTGTACGTATACACACACGAATACTGACTTATACAAAATAAATTCATAAAACCCAACAAAAATTACAAATTTAAATATTTTTATTATAAATCACATCAGAACCAATAAAATACAAATCGAAAATACATAAATATACGCATATGTAACTACATGTAACTACATGTTACTATAGTAATGTATAGTAATGTATACAGTCTGTTGAACAGATCTGATGTAACTTAAAAAAACAAAACTTTGACACCTTCAAGGAAAGGATCAATGGCATTCATTAAGCTGCAATTGCAAAATCAAAACAAAAAGAAATTACTTTAGTGCAAATCAACAAATTTGAATAAAAACATCAAAACACTCAAAAATCACCAAACATTAAGAGATCGAGAGATAGAGAGAGAGATTATTGCTAGGAAATGCAAAAAAATATAGAAATAAATCTGAAAAGATAAAAATAAACGAAATTACCATCAAATTATAGATCCCGACGAGAGGAATCCAACGGTGGATGACCCGTCAAATTTCGACGGGTGGAACACAAAATAAAGCTCCGGCAAGACCACCGTTCTCGAATGAAAAAAAATTGCAGAAACAGATCCGCGCTCAAAACTGAATGAAATCACCACCAAAAGAAAGAGCTCGACGAGAGGAATCCAACGGTAGTTAAACCATCGAATTCCGACCACCGGAGAGAGAGTTATGGCTCCGGGAAGCGGTGAGAGGTTTGTAGAGGCGGGATTTTGAATCTGGGAGAAGAAGAGAGAGACCGTGAGTGGCTAGGGTTAAAACTGATTTTAGAAGGGTATTATAGGAACTTCAGGGTAGCATAGGGGATTTTTTACGAACAAAATCATAGGGGATTTTTTACGAACAAAATTACAAATGATTGTTTTTTTTTTTTTTTCAGAAGAAATGTATTATCAAATGGGATATTGTACACATCAAACGAATCATACTACTACATATTCAAAGGATCAATAATTTACAGAATTGAGTGCCAAATTATAGGCACCTTAATTACTGGGGAGATAGATTGCACTGACTTAAAAGAAAAACTCTTTTTCAACAAGGATAAACCTGCCATCATCAATCTTAATATAGGCACCATTATATATATATATATATATGTGTGTGTGTGTGTGTGTGTGTGTGTGTGTGTGTGTGTTTTAAATTACACCTATTTTAGAGCAATTTTTTTGAAAATTCAAAGGACATGTGGACAACCTTGATCATGTCATTAAAACGTTAGAGGAATGTGGTTTCTCACACGACCGATTTTACATTCATTGCGATGCAGCGTCATATGGCCTCGTCTCTCCTTTTCTTGAAAATGTAGATTAAGTTTGAATTTAATTTCTCTCTCTAGATCTCTCCCTCTCTCTCTCTCTTTATATATATATATATTTGCATGCAATGCTGACTTTACATAAATTTTAAAGTTTGTGCTTAAGGGAGCACCACAAAGACATCAGCATTCAGTGCGATTTTTCTTTTTTGAATATTTAAGAAAAAATTAGATAAATATAATTAAAAAGTTATGTTGATATTTTTCTTATTATGAATCATTTTTCTCTTGGATGACATATCTTTGTAGGGCCCACTGTTTAGTTTTAAGAAGCCTATTGGGAGCGTCAGTGTCTCGGCACACAAACTATTGGGCTCCTCAATGCCATGTGGCGTTCTCATTTCAAGGAAAATGCACATGACCGATTTCTCGACAAATATCGAATACATTGCCACTCTAGACACTACAATTCGGAAGTCGAAATGTTCACACGCCAATCTTTATATGCTACGGTTTAAACTTGAAATGTCGCATTGGACTTCAAAAAGAAGTCAACAATTGTTTGACCAACGCTAAGTACTTAAGATACGGGCTTAAATAAAGCGGGAATTAGCGCGATATTTAATGAGTCGAGCATTGTGGTGGTTTTCGAGCGTCCGTTAGATTGTGAGTTTATTGATTAGTGGCAACTTTCATTTCTAGGAAAAATGGCGCATGTTGTCTTAATGCCTCATGTGACAATGAAAATGTTTGATGATTTTCTATGTGATCTTGTTCGGAAAAGAGAGATTTGGTATGGATCAGGAGAAGTTCAACCGGTTTGTTTGGCCGAGAAAATTGGGGCTTCTAATTGTGCTTCCTCGATTCATGGAAATTATTCAATTAATGGGATCTATATACAAATGGATATTAAAATAAAACTTTGCCAATTTGGTGTATAAGTTTGATATATGGATTAAGAGTGAATAAATGGGTTTGATTGGTGTGTATATATTTTTAGTGGCACACACCGAAACTCACTGTAATTGTGACGTGATTGTAATTTGTAAAATAAGATGTTGTGGGAAATAAAAGACCACCTTTCACTATTTCTTTTTTAAAAGTCAATATAACCTTAAATATTTTCTATATTTTAACCTATTTTGACAAATGATCAAGTTTCATTGCTCATAAGCACAATCATTCTCGATCAATACACACACAACCATCGATCTTGGAGAGGTGGGGAAAAAAGAAGAAGATGAAAAAGATTAATTAATCCCTATTATGAATCCATCAACAACAAGATGCTCTTTTTCTGTCTCTCTACTTGCCCATTCTTCATTTTTAGAATATTTGGCATGGGCATATAATTTCTCAATTGAGAGATAGATTAGCAAAAGCCATGTCTAGAAATTGGTTTAACCCAATTTAATATTTTTTTGTTCACCATGGTTTATGCATCAAACTCTTATCCATTACGACCAAACTAAAATAAAATATTCGCACTTTTACAACAATTATACATGTGAACTGATACTCATATGAACTTAAATATGTGCTTGAATTAATATAATTTCCATGACATAATAATATATAAAAATAAGGGTTGGAAAGAAAAAAATAACAAAACATAGGATGTCAATGCATATTTATGAGCACAAAGATTTCTTCACACTTATAAACAAAATAATATCAGATTTGCATTTGCGTAGATGTAACACAAGAAAAAAAATCGAGATGCATATCTCACAATTGATTATGTTGGAACCACGGCTGCACTTCGACGATTGATCACGAAACTTGTGGATGAGGCTTGGACTCCATTTGTTCTCTAATTTTATAGGTAACAAGTTGCTGCAATAAAGTACACAATAATATGGAGATAGGCAAGGTGAGGCGCGGACTAGGTCGCTTTTTTAAGACGAATTTCACGACCCCTTCTCTAATGAGGTGCAAAAAGGTTCCGATCGTGTCGCCTATGGGATACAACAGCCCAGCCTATCTCTTCGCTGTAACTTCACGGAAATTGCACGTTCGAGTGAAGTACAAGCTTACACCCGACACACAACAAGAGCTCAACATATGTATATACAATATAGAGGATATATGATCTTTAGAAATATAATTTTCTCTCTACTCTCATCCTTTTACAAAGACACCAAAACCCCCTTTATATAGTATAAAATATAACCACTATAAAACCTCAATTTAATATAGAAATTATGGTATTTTATGTAGGAAAATAATGACTTTGAAGGTTTCAAAATAGTAGTCTAATGACCCTCATAAAGTGGTCAAAGTCATTATTATAATTTATAATAAAATATATTGTTTTTATTAAAATAACCCAACAATCCCCCACTTATTTTAATAAAAGTAAGAATATAAATATACTTG